TCTGGTCTTTCCAAAAAGTTAATATCATAGGGGAAAAAATAGTAGAATTGTTCTGGATTAAGAAAGACTAAAAAGATATAACAATCAAAAGCAACGAGTGAAAGTTGATTGGATTTAGTTTAAAGCAATCACTATAAAAAGCACTGGGAGCCAGTGAAATGTTAATAGGGACTGGAGATTATATTAGGGAGGTATTCTTAATCTTCTTAAGTGACAATGGTATCAAGGTTGATGGAAGAACATCCTTATTTTTAGGAGAAACTTGTTGAAGAATTTAAAGGCTGTGTTATTCAGTATGAAGAAAACAAAACTCACACACAAAAAAAAGAGTTCAAAAGAGGGGATTCAATACATAGAACTGACTGAAATGGTGCTGGAAGAGTTGAAAGGGCAAAAAGGAGACAGAGAGGCAACCCAGAGATTAGCAAAAGCAGAAAGCCACCACCATCCCTTGGTTTGGAGGGACAATGGACGGAGGTGGTTTGCCAGAGTCCAGGAGCCAGGGCTGTCCAGTGGAAGCCTGGATTGTAAAGAAGGGGCTGACAGAAGTGAAAGAAGACATTTCCCTAAACACACAGAGGGTGGTAGACATGTCCTGTCTTCTCCTCTTATCATCCAATCTCCAGCTAGTACTTTCCATTGGCCAAAACCTGGAGAGTTGCAAGGGAGTCTGGGAAATGTAGTTTGGAGGCTCCAGCTCCCTAAGATACACCAACAGTGCAGGGGGAAGAGCTGGAGAATGACTGGCCCAGGGGAGAACTGTCACGACACAACCTATTTTTCAAATTGTTCAGAAAGCAAAATTTATACATATAATGGCAAATAAAGCAAATTTGGTCAAACATAGACTCTAGGTGGGTATATGGATATTTGTTACAGTATTCTTCCAATTTTTATATATATTTGAAATTTTTCACAACAAACAGTTGGTGGAAAATCCATTCTGATACTCTATGAAAGAGATGATAGGAACCTGACACAAGGTCATGGCCATGAAAATGGAAAGAGGAAATACTCAAACTGAATTTGACAAAGTTTCTCATTAAATCCTTATCACCAAGATGAAAATATGTGTGCCAGAGCAGTATTTATCATTTTTTTTTCCTACCACTACACATTGGATAGTTGATTTTTATATTTGTCACTCTCCCCGTAATATTTCCACTTTTATTCCTATGCTGGCTCCAACACCTACCCTATTTATAACACTCAAGAAAGTTTGATAAAATGGAGGTGAATAAGAGTGGCTTTAAATTTGTGGTAATCTTTAATCTGCTCTATTTTTTAAAGAAACAATTTAGTTATGAAACGCCTGATAGTCCATTGCAACACACCAGTGTGTTGTGACATTAGAGTTGAGAAACTTTCAGTTAGAAAAATAGTATCATTATAAAGCCACAAACATGATTGACTACTTCTACCCAAAGCTGCTGGTTAATGCCAAGATGCCAACCTGGAGTATGGGAGGGCAGCTCTTCAGGATCCATCAGAGGGTATCTTTTTTTTTTTGGTTTGATCCTGTCCAGTTTTACATTTTTATCAATAACTTGAATGAGATTTAAAAACAAAGCTGATCATAATTGCTGACGGCAGGAAATCTAGGGTGAGAATGAATGTCAGCTCGGGATACGCAAAGATTTGGATCAATCAGAGTAATGAACCAACAAAAATTGATATCTAATAGAATTATGTGACCAGCTTTTCACTTGGGTCCAGAGAAACCAAATAAGCATGAGATGTTTTATACATAAAACTAGAAGGCTTCAGTTTGTTCTCTGCTCTTCCACTAATGACCTGTATAAACGTCAGCAAGTTACTTTATCTCTCAGGAAGTGCCTCAGTTTTCACATCAGCGGGATGGGAATAACAATAATATCTACTTCATAGTAGCCTGGGTGAGTTAATATATGTAAAGCAGTTGACCAGTCCCTGGCACAGGTAACAGAAGAAATGCTACTTGTTACTAGCGATGTGTGTGTAGAGGAGTGATGGTGGGCTATATTATCTAGTAAATAGTATGAAAAAGATTAAGTGATTGATACTACATTCAATTTGTTTCGGTCGTGGGGCAGAGTTAGTAAAGGAGTCTCTGACATTCAAGGCTTTATTTTGTTCAATTTTCATATTGTGGTAAAATACACGTAACAAGATTTACCCTCTAAAGCATTTTTAAGTGTATACTTCAGTAGCATTAAGTACATTCACATCGTTGTGCTACATCACCACCAACTGCCTCTAGAATTCTTTTCATCTTGCAAAACTGAAACTTATACCTATTAAATAATAACTACTGATCCCCCTCCCCCACCCTCTGACAACCACCGTTCCACTTTCTGACTCTACGATGTCTGCTTACTCTAAGTACTTCATGTAAGTGGAATCATATAGTACTTTTTTTTTTTTGTAACTGGCTTATTTCACTCAGCATAATATCCTCAAGGTTCATCCATATTGAAGCAAATGTCAAGACCATCTTCCTTTTTAAAGCTGGATAATATTTCATGGTATGTACATACCACATTTTCTTATCCATTCTTGTATCAGTGACCACTTAGATTGCTTCCACATTTTAGCCATTGTGAATAATGTTGCTATCAATATTGGTGTACCAATATCTTTTTGAAATCCTGCTTTTAATGCTTCTGGGTATATACCCAAACATGGAATTGCTAGATCATGTGGTAATTCTATTTTTTTTTTTTTGAGGAAACACCATATTGTTTCCCACATTAACTATACCATTTTATATTCCCACCAACAGCGCAAAAGGATTTCAACTCACATTTTCTCCAACATTTGTTATTTTCTGGGTGTTTTTGTTAGTAGCCATCCTAATGGGTGTGAGGTGGTAATTCATTGTGGTTTTGATTTGCATTTCCCTAATGATTAGTGATGTTGAGCATCTTTTCATTGGCCATTTGTGTATCTTTGGAGATATGTCTGTTCAAGTCCTTAGCCTACTTCTGAATCAATTATTTTGTTGCCCTTGTTGATAAGACTTTAATAGAATCTCACTCTTTGGAAGGAAGCAGATGAAAGTCATGGTTTACTCTGCTCTGCACAGACTGCAACTGTGGCAAGGGGTTGAGACTGGGTGCCATAGTTGCAAACTATCATAAACAAATCAGAGTCTGCTCAACACAGAGCTGAAATGCAGGAACTGTTGGCAGAATTGGAGGTGTCAGGCTGTCTAAAAATTTAATGAGCTGTGGAATAGAATTTTGAATTTGTTTTGTGAGTCCCAACTGATTTCTCCAGAGCCAATGTGTAAAAATTACCATGACACAGATTCCGAGTCCCCTTCCTTGTGATCAGGGTTAGGAAGAGCTGCTTTGGGGTATACTAAGTTTCCTGTCCCTACAACGATATGGCATTATATATTACAGTGACCACGTGGCAAGAGTATGATGGGATTCAAATCCCAGATGTGTGATTGAATTAAGTGTCTTTTAAGGTTGGTCCCTAGAAATTCTGATATTTTATCCAATGAAATTCTGAGGATTCTAGATTTGTTTCTAATTACATACTTAAATGCTTCCCTCACTGCTGCCTCTTAAGCTCTTATTGGGTTTTTTTAGGCTTTGGGCCAAAGGGACTGTACTTTTTTTTCCCCCCACCACCAAATAGGTTAAATACTAAATGTGTTCATTTTTTAGGAAATGAAGTCGAAATGATTAAACAGGAAACATGCACTTAGCTCCTTAATGCTAGCTACCTCAAGACAAAAATCAATTCCATTTCAAATGGAATGCTATTGGAGAGCTGTTTAGAAATTTGTTGATAGGAAAGAAATATTGAAGGTGAATGCACCAGAGACAGGAAATGAGAAACTTAAAGATATCTCTTAATGCTGAAAGGCACTCTGTCTTTCCTGTTCTCAAAACCTTGAAGAAATCTCTAAAATGCTCTGCTCATTTGAGGTGTAAATATGTTGGGCTAAAAGGCAATGACATCTGGATAAAGAGCCAAGGTTTTGTCTAGTAGGTCCTCTAAGGAAATTCAGAAATTTTAATGCTGAAGATGCCTAAATCACTGACCACAACTGCTTTCTTTAATATACACATCTATTAAGGTGTTAGTTCTGGTAGTTTTATGTGAACAAGCTGATACTCCACATGGCCTCAGTTTTCAATTGGTAAGCATTTTTTTAAGCCTAAGAAGTAGTATTCACAAATTACATGGAGCAGTGTCTCACTGCCTTCTCAACAACCGGCTCTGCTGCTTTGGCCAAGGGAACATTTTCCAACCCTCTCAACAGAGTTAGGTGGTTTACACCAAACAGTGTAAGTTTTTCAAACTGGTACCATCCAACTGCACCTAGGTTTGTGGGTTTTACTAAATACCAAAATGTATGTTCAGAATCTCTGGCCTCCAGTCAAAGATGAAGATGGAAGCATAAAATCTAAGTTGATACATTGTATTTTTACACTGTGTTAGGTTTTCATGTTTTACTGGGGGGGGAGGGATCAAATATATATGTTAAAGATTATATTTTAAATCACATATATATTTTAATATATCCTTGGGGAATTTTGTATTCTTGAAATTTAATCAGACTAGTCTTTCCAAATTTTAGAATGCAGACTAATTTAACGCAGTTTACAGAAACGAGTAATAAATGAAATGACAACCAGCAAAAATTTGTCTTGTAGTGGTTTAAAATATGATATTTTCTCCTAAGATCTCAGGTTCTCTGTTTTCGAGTGCTCACAATTTTTACTTCTAGATCCAAAATTCTTTAGTTCACCGGGTGTTGGACCAGGTGTCCCAGCTTCTTGATTAGAAAGCATTCTTGCTTTTAAGTCCAGGCACCTTTCTAAAGAACTTTGAGACGTTCTCTCTACTATCGTATTAAGAACATTTGGGTTTTGTTTAGTTTGGTTTTACTAGAAATTCCAGCAGAAGGGAGATGAATATTGGAGGCCAAGATGGCGCGCTAGAAGCAGCCTGCCCAACGCTGCTCTCATGGCGAGGATGAAAAATGCTGAATACATACCCACCTTTGGATCGATCGTCTGAGCGAGAGCACTGGGAACCCACGGAGAGGCTGCAGGAGTGAAGCAAAGAAGACAGAAGTGAGCCGAGCTGCTCTGCAGGGCTGGAGGTAATTAGGGAAGGCGCCCACACGTGGGAAAGGGAAACAGGAGAAAATCCCAGGCTCCACGCCTCCCCTGAGGATACTGCAAGCAGAGGGAGGGCCCCTCCACTGCAGCAGGCCTCTGGACTGATACAGAGACCCGACTGGAGGCTGTGCAGCTGCGTTTCTCCAGAGAGGAGGGACAGCTGGTGCTGTTGCAACACTTCAACCTCACCACTGCTGCTGCTGCTGCTGCTGCTGCCACTGCTTCAAAGGTCCCACGTGAGATGAAAGCCAGCACAGCTGGAGCCTTTGGATCTAGGCAGTCTGCATGCCACAGACCCTCACCGTCCTGCACAGGTGCGTGGGATGCCCCACCTTGCGTGCCTTTGCCCTGCCCACCTCCCCCACTCTGCAGCCACCCTCCCCGCACACATGAGCACCATGCCCTGGTGACCTACTCTAACCCAAGTAGGCCCCCTGCCCCACAGGTCTGCTCTGTCTGGGGGTCCCACTCCATCCTGCATGTGAGCTGTGATCTGCTGGCCTGCCCCCAAATGGGGGCCACACTGCCCTGTGCCCCATGGGCCTATGGAACTGCTACACCCTGAGCGCCTGTTATCCCCTGCACTGCACCCTGCAAGACCTTGCCCAGTCCACAGACCTGTCAACACTCCCTGACAGAAATAGACAGATCATTGAGGCAGAAGATCAACAAAGTAACTTCAAACTTAAACAGGACTATGGAACTAATGGACCTAGCAGACATATACAGAACATTCTACCCCAAAACTGGAGAATGTACATTCTTCTCATCATCACATGGGACATTTTCTAAGATAGATCATACATTATCCTACAAAACAAGTCCCAGAAAATTCAGAAAACTCGAAGTCAATCCATCTATAGTATTTTCTAAGATCATAGTAGAATAAAACTAGAAATCAACTCCAAGAGGAACTGTCAGATCTACGTAATCATGGAAATTAAACAACCAACCAGCTGCCAAACAATCCTTATGTCAATGAATGACAAAATGAAGGTGGAAATCAAAAGATTTTTCAAACTGAATGACAATCATGATGCAAGCACCCAAAATCTATGGGATATAGCAAAAGCACTGTTTAGAGGGAAATTCATAGCCATAAATGCTTACATCAAAAGACAGAAAGATCACAAATTAACAACTTAATGTCACACCTCAAAAAACTAGAAAAAGAATAACAAACCAAACCCAAAGGTAGCAGAAGAGAAGAAATAACAAAGCTCAGAGCAGAACTAAATGAAAGGAAAAAAAAAAAAAATGCAAGGGATCAACAACAAAAAAAAAGTTGGTTCTTTGAAAAGATAAACAAAGTCAACAGACTGCTAGCTAGATTAATCAGAAATAGAAGAGAAAGGATCCAAATAAGCTCAATTAGAAAAGAAAAAGGAGACATTACAACTGATACCACAGAAATATAAAATATCATCCATGAGTAGTACTATGAAAATCTATTAAATGCACACAAACTAGAAAATGTAGAGGAAATGGATAAATTCTTGGAAACACACAACCTCTTAAGCCTGAACTAGGAAGAAACAGAAATTCTGAACATACCAATAATGAGCAGCAAGATTGAAGCAGTAATTTTTTAAAAATCTACCAACAAAAACATGCTCTAGACCAGATGGATTCACACCCAAATTCTCTCAGATCTACAAGGAAGAACTGGTACCTATCCTATAGAAAATTATTCCATAAGATCAAGAAGGAGGGAATCCTCCCTAACTCATTCTGTGAAGCCAGTATCACCTTTATACCAAAGCCAAGGACAGATACAACAAAAAAAGAAAACTACAGATCAATATCCCTTATGAATACAAATGCAAAAATCCTCAACAAAATAATAGCAAACCAAATTCAACAGCACATCAAAAAGATAATTCACTATAATTGAGTGGATTTCATTCCAGGCATGAAAGGATGGTTTAACATATGCAAATCAATAAACATGATTCACCACATAAACAGAAGCAAAAACAAAGACCATATGATGATCTCAATAGATGCAGAAAAAGTATTCAATAAAATCCAGCACCCTTTCTTGATAAAAACCCTCAATAAACTAGGCATGGAGGGAACATATCTCAAAATTATAAAAGTCATATACGACAAACCCACAGCCAACATCATACTGAATGGGGAAAAGTTGAAAGCATTCCCCCTAAGAACTGGAGCAAGACTAGGGTACTCACTATCACCACTTCTATTCAACATAACACTGGAAGTCCTAGCCAGAGCAATCAGGCAAGAGAAAGACAGGGTATCTAAATCAGGAAAGAGGAGATCAAACTATCACTTTTTGCTGACAATATAATCTTGTATCTAGAAAACACCAAGAGACTCCTAGAATTGATAAATAAATTCAGCAAAATCTCAGGTTACAAAATCAATGTACACAAATCAGTAGCATTTATATATACCTATAACAGTCAAGCTGAAAGTCAAATCAAAGTTTCAATGCAATTCACAACAGTTGCAATGAAAATTAAATACCTAAGAATATACTTAACCAAAGAGGTGAAAGATCTCTATAAGGAGAACTACAAAACACTGATGAAAGAAATGCAAACAAATGGAAAAACATCCCATGCTCATGGATTGGTAGAATCAACATTGTAAAAATGTCCATACTATCCAAAGTGATTTACAAATTCAATGCAATATCCATCAAAATGCCAATATCATATTATACAGAACTAGAAAAAATAATTCAACACTTCATTTGAAACCAAAAAAGAGCCCAAATAGCCAAAGCAATCTTAAGCAAAAAAAACCTCAAAAAACAACAAAAAAAACCCCCCAAATCTGTCACATTACGTGATTCAAATTATACTACAGCCTACACAGTAACCAAAACAGCATGGTATTGGTATTAAAGTGGAGACATAGACCAATGGAACAGAATAAAGATCCCATAAATAAAACCATTACCTACAACCAAGTGGTCTTCAATAAAGCAGACAACAACATACACTAGGAAAAGGACACCTTACACAATAAATGGTGCTGGGAAAACTGAGTAGCCACATGCAAAAGAATAAAACAGGAGTCCTATCTCTCACCTTATACAAAAATTAATTCCAGATGGATAAAAGACTTAAATATAATGCATGAAACCATAAAAATTCTAGAAGAAAACATAAGGAAAACCCTTCTAGACATCAGCCTAGGCAAAGAATGTATGAGTAAGACCTCAAAGGCAAATGCAGCAACAACAAAAATAAAGAAACTTAATTTGGGGGGACTTAATTAAATTTAAAAACTTAATTGAATTTTTGCAACTTAATAAAAGTTAAAAACTTCTGCAGAGCAAAGGAAATAATCAGCAAAACAAATAGGCAACCTACAGAATGGGAGAAAATATTCTCAAACTATATATCTGACAAAAGGCTAATATCTAGAATCTACAAAGAATGCAAACAAATCAGCAGGAAAAAAACAAGCAACCCCATTAAAAAGTGGGCAAGGAGCTCTAGTGGCGCAATCGGTTAGCACACGGTACTTACATGATAAAAAGTGGGCAAAAGACATGAACAGAAGTTTTTCAAAAGAAGATAAACAGATGGTCAACAAACATATGAAGAAATGTCCAACATCACTAATCATCAGAGAAATGCAAATTAAAACCACAATGAGATACCACCTTACCCAGTCAGAAAGGCTATTAATAAAAAGTCGGAAAACAATAGATGCTGGCATGGTGCAGAGAGAAAGGAATACTTTTACACTGTTGGTAGGACTACAAATTAGTACAACCTGTATGGAAAACAGTGTGGTGATTCCTCAAATAAATAAATGTAGACTTACCATTTGGTCCAGCAATTCCACTACTAGGTATCTACCCAAAAGAAAAGAAGTCATTTTATCAAAAAGATACCAGCACTTTAGTGTTTATTGAAGCACAATTTACTATTGCAAGATGTGGAATCAGACGAAGTGCCCATCAATTCATGAGTGGATTAATAAAATGTGGTATATGTATACCATGGAGTACTACTCAACCATAAAAAAGAATAAAATAATGTCTTTTGCAGCAACTTGGTATGGAACTAGAGACCATTATCCTAAGTAAACTATCTCAGGAATGGAAAAACAAACACCACATGCACTTTCTAATAATTGGGAGCTAAGTGATAGGTATATGTGGGCACAAAGAGATGTAAAGGACATTGGAACCAAGAAGAGAAAAAGATGGGAGAGAACGAGGGGTAAAAACTTGCCTATTGGGTACAATGAACACTATTCTGGTGATGGGCACACTAAAAGCCCCAACTTAAGCTTTTTTACAAGGTATCCATGTAACAAAACCCTATGTCCCCTTAATGTTTTGAAATTAAAAATAAATAAATAAATAATACAATTTAAAAAAAGAGAAGTGAAATGGAAACAGTCGAAACCAGGAATGTAATAGTATCAATAGAAATAAGACAGTTTATACCCTCAAGTAGATCTACTTTTCAGGATTTTTGTTTTTCTGTATAATATAGTACACAATCCTAAGAAGTGAGTATTGTCAATAACACTAAGAAGAAAGTGTTTTATAATTCTGAAATGGTTGTTAACAGCTTCAGCCTTTTCTTTATCCATTAAAAGTTTCTTTGACATCAAATTGTGAATAAGGCATTTGGGAAAAGTGCTGCGTAGAATTAAGAAAAGAAAAGAAAAAAAAAACAACAAAAGGACATTTTCCCCTAGAAAAATTTGCCAATAGGGTCCTAGTGAAAACTTTTTCTTGGGCCAGGCGTGGCGGCTCACGCCTGTAATCCTAGCATTCTGGTAGGCCAAGGCGGGTGGATTGCTCGAGGTCAGGAGTTCAAAACCAGACTGAGCAAGAGCGAGACCCCGTCTCTACTATAAATAGAAAGAAATTAATTGGCCAACTAATATATAGAGAAAAAATTAGCCGGACATGGTGGCGCATGCCTGTAATCCCAGATACTCAGGAGGCTGAGGCAGTAGGATTGCTTGAGCCCAGGATTTGAGGTTGCTGTGAGCTAGGCTGACGCCACGGCACTCACTCTACCCTGGGCAACAAAGTGAGACTCTGTCTCAAAAAAAAAAATAAATAAATAAATAACTTTTCCTCCTTCTTAATTTACCCTAAGCTTCCTTGTCAGTATCACCCAAAAATGGAATTCTTCTTAAAAAAAAAAACAAATTTAACACAGGATAATTTATAATTCCCAGAGGTGACCATCCATAGATTTTTTTAAAAGCCTACTCTTCTGGAGAAAACAAGTCTTTTATTTACTTGAGTCTTATGTGATTTGTAACAGAGTAGATCCTTGATAAAGGTTTATTGAATAAATCAGTGAATAAACAA